ACATACGTCAGCTTAACCATCAAAAAACCAAAGTTTGTGTTGTTAACTTGCTTGCCGCCATTTTTGGCGACCGAGAGATCAAGGGTTTTAGAGAAAAAGGTGAATGACACAGGTATCAAAAACTGTGTTCAGCCACCTTAAGTGTTTTGCACCCCGAGGTGGTGTTACTGAGCAAGTTAACTCAGATACTTGTCAATAAACGTCCATATGGTAATGGTATTCTCATAATTGTTCGATAAATTAACTAAATTATTCCAGCAAAGGTCTAGGGAAGGTGAAGGAAATAAGCAGATAATTTGGCACATTTCTTTCAAAATTGTTTACTTTAGTTTCTTCTCTTTTGATCTTGCTTTCGCCTGTTGTGTCAAATCAAGGATTTCAATTTCGTTTCGCGTGTTAATTATCTCTCGACAATTGCTTCCGTGGTTCTGAAATTGTCGTTTGCTGCTCAGTTTTTTCCCCTAAAATCAGTGTTTGCAAAGTTCGTCTTTTCCACTTAGATGTACTTTGGATTGCAGGGTTTTTTGTTCTTGATTAGCTCTTCCAGGAGTTCAACTGGTTGGGGCAGAACGCGAAAAACGGTCGCGCTTTTTTTTTATTTTAGTTTTTCGCGCTGCGTCCCAACTAACGGAGCGCCTGGAAGAGGCTAGTTCCAGATGAATACCTAGTTCTTTACAGTGCGCAAACCCAAACAAAGCTAAAATTTAGGTTTTTAACTTGGTGCATTCGTATGCGTTTAAGCCCAATGCAATGGTAAGTTGGAGTAGAACAGAACTTGAGTAACAGAAATAAATTAGGAATTCTTCTTACGTCCTGTTCCTTCTCCGTCGTTGTTGGCATTGTTGCGTGAACCTGAAAGATAATACAAAAACAACAGTAAGACCCAGTAAGCCGTAGATTGAGGGTGGCTATTATCAATGCACAGACGTTACATGTACATAGGTTGAGCCAGTAAAATTGCAAGATAGGACACCAACCGTAATAATTGTTTTAAAAATCACTTAAAAAACACTAAATGAATCTAAAAGAATTAATGGCCTTTTTTCAGAAAGCTCTTTCCCAAAAATCAGTCAGCTTGTTCTCACCAGACCAAACGAAGCACACCACATCATCCGTTGTAACTGTAATGCGTTCAGGAG